CAACTCAATATCGTTGATATTCTTGCGGCACGTGTACGCTTCACAGTTCGCATCTTGCTAAATTTGGTAGCACATATCGTATCTCCTCGCCAAGGTGCGATCGTCGTTTATCACGCGATTGGGTACCGATATACTCCCGCCATAATATTGCATTGTAGTACAATGCAATGATTGTACTGTACTGTACAAGGCGGTCTTGCGGAGAGAGTACAGTAGACACCTGACACTGAAGCTTCTGGGGCAACTGCAGGAGCGGGATTAGATTGAAACCTGTATTTCATCAGCGGAAGCTTTTCCTGAAGTTTTTCCTGAATCGCCAGCACTTGCACTCTGCCGATACCCTCGAAAGTCACTCTATTTGCCTGGTTGATCTCTTTACTGTACAGTACTTAGCGTTGCCCGAGTACACTTCTACCGTCGATTGACGAGGACCACTGCATGCCTCCTGACCTGTCTCAACGCTCACATCACATGCGTGACGCAACCGGTGCACCACGTAGGAGGGTTGGACAAATAGCGAAGGGCCGCAAGGGCCGAAAGAAGTATGATAAGATACAACAAACGGCCGACGAATTCTCGACCATGGAAGTCTCTCTCAAACATGGATTGCGTAATAAAGGGGAGGCTATACAGTATATATCCAGAGGATTTATGCTGCGACATATAACATCCCATGGGGTGCCGTATTGCAGGATAGTGCAGAAGGACACGGTCTGCGAGGGCAAATTAAGTGGGAATTAGGGTTTTCTCGGGAGGGCGGGGTCTTAAGTCCGTCATTCCGGGCTCTATCTTGTAATGGACGTAGCCTCCCTGGGCACGCCCACATAGCGGAGCTTTGAGCGGTCCGGTGTACGGCTCTACTTGATTTCCGCATACAGTAACTCAGTTTTAGGGGCTCTGCATTGCACTGTGCGTGGCTTTTCCAACTTTATGTACTATGTTATTGTTATTGACTGCTCACGTGAGTGTGTGTTCAATAGCAGGGCAACGTCAGCGTGACTGCTCGCATATGTGTGCCTATATTCTACGAAAGACGTAAACATTACCGCACGCACGGAGGTCGTTCGTGCATCTCACATCACTTCGAGGTGAATGTCCTACGCGAATGAGAGGCCATCGTTCGTTGCTGAGCTCTCTAAATCATGCTAGCATGCCGAGTATGATGGTTTACGCACGTAATAGTCGGGCAACTCCAACGGAACATACTAAATACATAGTCATGTGAGGTACACGTGTAACACGCAGACGGCTCCGTCGAGGCCCTCCCGCCATCCCTTACAGTCCCATCGCATCCAAAAGGCTCTTCTCCATCAACTCTTCTTTTACAACTTGTGGATCTTGATAGGATCTTCTCGTTTTGCCGACTGTCAGCAGCAGAAAGTAGTCCTTAATCGCGCGAGTACGGCAGTATCCTCAAGAGTCAGTCGCTCTGGATTCGGCCTCAGGTTTTCTTCGATAATCTGTTTTCGTCCTGCAATTCTGCTTCATTTTTCGCTATTGACAGCACGGAGATGTGCTGGCCTTGTCAAATTGCCTCCTGCCGGAAACTGTTAAGCCAATCCGCGTGTACGATGTACACGTCGGATGCTTGAGATGCAGACGAACGGTAGAAAGCGGATGCATTTCGAAGCTGACAGCGAAACAAAAAAATTATACGTCGAGAAACAACTGGAGTTGCCCTATCCACACCTCCATGATGTAAGACAACTAGTACGATTAAGAGATGCACGGGCTGAAGCCAGCATCAAGACGTGTCCTATGCTCACACAGAATAAACCTGTGCTCTCAGGGGTAAGGTCACGGTCACTCCCCTCCCCGCCCTTACGTGCACTGACATTCTACGACATAATCACCGAACAAGCAGTGATGATTGTGGTGTCCCTTGGGCTGGTCAGTGTCGGTAGGGGGTGGTGGAATGTAGTGCTCGGGAATATAGCCTTACACGGACAGCGATGCGCGGCGTGGTCACTTTTGTTCTGTCCGAATTCTGCTCTTCAGATGGTCCTAGGGAGTATCCCCGCAGGACACACGACAACAAGTGTGTGGAGCCTTCTTCGCACATTGAAATTATGACAACGAGCTCTGCGGGGAGGTAAGCCGTTGTACTTGTACAGTACTTGATGTTTACACCAATCGAATCCCTGGAACGTGCACTCTATTCAACCTGAAGTACTATACAGCATACTGAAACACAGCTCGGAGAGCGACGGAGAACTTCATCTTCAGTCCCCATGACTTCGAAGACAAAAAACAAAACAGGCTAACTAGAAATCTGAACTGAAACGCTTTCTTCATGATGTGCAAGTACAGAACTGCTCAGCGCAGTGGTGTGATCGCTGGTCACTGACCAGTGCTTATGAACAAAAGATTGCTATCTTTTGCGATAATTTTCGTACGTTTCTGCAATGCAAATCTGCACTGCGACAGTGCGGTAGTCGCACGGCAGACCAGCATATAGTATGAAGAGGAAAGGGCGTAGAGTGCGGGGTAGTGTGTGCACAGGCCAACGTGTTCGCAAGGCATCAGCGTTTAGAAGTTTGGTGGCCCTCCGTACTTGCAACTGGATGATAACATCTCTGGCGGTGATGCAAGTAAATTTACGTTGCGATAGCCTTGTGTGGTATGGATCGCCTGAAATGCCAGCGTTCCAAAGCTTCGGTGGGTACAGTGGATGCTTCTATCGTCTAGAAGACAAGCGATTTGCTTTTTTCAACCAATACATTCATGCCAAGTTTCAGGGTGCTTGCGTGCTAGCACACCGTGCTCGTCGTTAGGAACGGCCCTCATATGAGGCCACTGTTTTTTTGCGAAACTATATACATCAACTCGAAACTTCATAGAGTGACCCTGAGGGTCACTCCGAACGAAGAGTTGGCGGTGCCAGCACCGGAGCACCCTGACATTTGGCATGAATGGATTGGTTATAAAAAATTATTGGAAATGCTTTCCTCCCATTCAACCAATCGATTCATGCCAAATGTCAGGGTGCTCCGGTGCTGGCACCACCAACTCTTCGTTCGGAACGGCCCTCAGGTTGGACGCCCATTTCTTTTGCGTACGCCCTCCCGCGCGGCAGGCGTCCGGGATCGCCCCGCCGGCGGCACGCCGCGCAGGCCGCGCGACGCCGACCCGCGAGACGCAGTGGCGCTCCCTCTGCGCGCGAGGCAAGCTGGAGCGCCGGCTGGACGTGGACACGGGTGCCACGGAGGCGGGCACGCCGGGAGGCCGGTCTACTGTAAATTTACGGCGGTTGGGGAGGAGGGACGCGAAGGCTGCGACCTGAAAGAAAGATAGCGTACAGGACTGCACCGTGGTAGACTGCACCGTGGTACCCTTCGAAGGGTACACTACCACCGTCCAGCTGTGAACGAGGTGAGCAATAAACGTGATCGAGAGTTGGTTCCTCTCCTGTGTGAGGGGGCGAGCTGCCCCCGGTCACACAACTTTATGTCATCCAGTCCGAGACTGGTGGGCGCGATACCGCGCCGCCGTCGAGTGTAGATTACTAATTAATTAGTTAAATCTACGATGGTGCGCATACAAAATTCTCCCTTTTGGTCCGACTACATTCGTCGCCCAATGCCAGCCGTCCAAGTATGGACGGCGGCGGTCCGGAGCGTTCTTATTGGACGAAATGGCTTTCGCCACCTCATGGCCAAAGGCCCTATGATATGCCTATCTTGGCAAGCTGCACCCGCTGGCATGGGACATCTACGGGGCATCTGGCCCCGGGACACAACGAGGCCTGCACCTTGTCGCCGACTACCTTTCTACTCGCACTGGGAACTCCCCAGTCCATGAGCGCTGGCGTCTCAGCACCATCCTTACCTCCCTCATACTCCAATATACGGCTTTATCCGTAAACCGACGTAGGTTTCGGCTTCCCCCGGTTGCTCTACAGACCCTCGGTAGACCCTGATGCTCTAGTGTCTAGCCGACAAGTGACCTCAAATGAGGCCATTTGACCTCATAAAAATAATAAAATAAGTTGAACCTCAATCTCAAATGAGGAAAATTGTCGGCTAGACACTAGTGTCGGGCCGCCCCAATACTCTCTCAATAAAGTCGACCATTCAAGGGTACTTCACGCTACGTTGTTTGTGGCTTTGCAGGGCGGTGCGGCGCACCGCACTGTAATGCGATAATACTACAGTACTGTTAGGGATGGATGCTTACAGTCACGGTTGCCAGCTGAAGGTGGGACCAGCGAGTGTGAAGGCCTGTCTCCGCCCGTGCTACTGTAGGGGGGACGGGTCGAAAGGAAAGGGAGACGACGTAAAGGCGCGACATGAAGGACGAAGGGAAAGGAATGGGGTCTCAGCCATGTATGGCGGGCCACAAGTAGGGGATGGCGTAGGTCGGGAGGGGATAGCGTAGATCTGACGGGGGGCGGGGGGATGCCCAGAGGGTAGGTATTTGAGGGAAGAGAGGCCGGCGTACGAACCATAACCTGTGGTAAAAGGGAGTGCCCCCTGGCCAGGAGACAGGTGGGGGGGGGGGGGTGCACAGTACCAAGGGTATATGTAGTAGCGAAATCCAACAGAAGCCGCGCGAACCGAAGTGACACACCAGTGGCGAGATCACCAAGGACCGGTCGTAACAGTACTGTACCTTGTCATGTACTGTACAGAGAGGACTCGCCCAATAGTGCCGAATTGAGTAATTCCACGAGTGAGTAATGCAGGGGTTGTTCGGTGAACACAGGTTATCATACCTTGCATTGCTGTTAGACACCTGTCCTAGACGGGGACGCGGCCACGAAGATGCCCAACAGTAAACGGATCATCCTTTCCAACAGACCCCACAGATCCTCTCCGCCTTACTCCAGTGACACGCAAGGGCACTGACACAACCACAACACAGCATGAAAAGACGAGTGCAGATGGAACCAACGGGATAGAATCAAATGAGTGTGTTATTCCAGGTTTTGAGGAAGTAATTGCCTGCTTTACGGGAGTGGCGGAAATGGTGAACAATTCGGGTATCGAGGATGCAGTTTGTCATTTGCACGTTGCAAAGCGCGAGTTGCTAACTGCACACGCTGAGCAGAGTCGTTCCGAGAGGCGCCAGACGCTTGTGAACGAGTATTTTGTGTGACCCCATTCATTAGTGCAAGATGCGAGTATTGCATGTCGTTGGAACCTTGCATGGGGGTGCACTACTCGGTGTGGTTGACTGTACATCATTGCGGCTATAACGTGTACAGTGTAATGCACACTTGCGGGCGTGCGCATGCATGTAGTGAACCGATATCGCCGGACAATTCCTGCCGGTGATATTGTAGCACAGCTTCGCCCTCGCCGTCCCACCCCCGTCTCATTCACCGCACCTCGCTCACAAAGTCCACACAAATGAAACAGGGCACACTGCGGCACACCAGAAACACCAAACCGAATAAACCCCATACAACTCAACAACAAATAACAATAAAAAAGCAACCGTTCCCACACGAAACTGGACAGCTCACATGTACAACAAAAAACTGCTAGCCGCAACTCAAAAAAGAAAGCCCCGCCTCAACACAGCCGCCTTTCCTTCCCCACCAACTCCTTCTGCCTCTGCCGCAGCGCCTCGTACAGCCTCGTCTCATTCTGCAGCCTGCCTAAGTCGATCGGCACGCGGAAGTCATGCGGGGGCCTTGACGATTTGTTCTCCTCTCTCAAATCGTCCTCCAGCCTGCGATGCAGCTGCCCCAGCACCTCGTCCTGGTACAAGTCCATCACCTCGTCGTACCGCTCCACAATCCTCGCAATCCGTTCCTCCAACGGCAGCGTCGACACCTCGCACCGCTTTCCAAGCCCGTCGTAGTAGTCGAACAACGAGCACGCGGGGTACTTGGACATGAACTCCTCGTAGCTCGCCTCGTAATGGATCCCGTAATGCGTCGCCTTCTTCCCTCGGTTGTACAGAAACGCGCTCTCCCACCGCTCCAGCGGCTCGCGGATCGACGTCACCCTGTAGTACCCGCTGCGCCCCAGGCACCCCATCGTGTCCGCGTCACCCGTCAGGTGCTCCACAAAGTTCACCTTCTCGCGCTCCCCCGCGCACACCTCCCGCGCCGCTTCCGTGCAGTTCTGGAACGTGCATTTCAGGTACTGCGCCCCGCGCACGTTCAGGTACTTTTTCAGCGCCTTGGTCACCGCCGTGCTCCCGGTCTTCACAGGCTTGTCGTACACTATGTGCCGCAGGCATGCTGCGCTGGAGCCATCCACTGGCTCCACGCCCGCGCCCGTGCTTGCATCTGCGCTCTTACGCTCTACAGCTTCCACTGGCTTCTCCGCCTGCATGCCCTCTTCCTTGCGCTCCTCTAGTACTGCATCCGATTCGGGATTCACTTCTACGGGCTTTGCAGATTCCCCTTCAACTTCGCTTGTCTCATTCCTCGTATGGTCACTCTCTCTCACTTCCGCGGAAACGTCCGCGCTCCCTTGCGTTGTCACTTCTTCGACCTCTGTGTTGACCTCTTCTTTGATTTCCTCATTGATTTCTGCTTTGACCTCCTCTTGGACCTCCTCTTGGACTTCTGCTCTGACTTCTGTTCTGAACTCCTCCTTGACCTCGTCCTTGACTTCGTTCTTGACCTCCTCCTTGACCTCGTTGATGACTTCTTCATTGACAGTGACGTCTTCTCTGATTTCTTCTCTGACCTCTTCCTTGGGCTCTTCCTTGACCTCCTCCTTAACTACCCCTTCGACGTCCCCCATACTAGCCTCCCCAGTCACATTCGTAACATCTCCTCCCTCCTGACCCCCCTCTTCCTCCCTCATGAGCCGTCTCGCCTCCCTCTCCGCCTCCTCGGTAATCATCTGTAGGGTGACTCTGCGTTGCGCGGTCTCCGCTTCGGGCGCCATAACGGGCGCGGCGACGGGCGCTGCGACAGGCCGCTCCACCTGCTGCGGCGGGGCCTCGTCCCGCGGCTCCTTGTCCACCACGGTCTTGGAAAATGCGCGCACCTCCTGCATGGACGGCGGGTCGGGCGACACGAAGAGGATGCACAGCAGCGCGACGACGACGATGGCCGACGACACGCGGCGGCCGCGCCCCGCGGCGGGCGCGCGATCGGCGCGGGCGCGCGGCTTCATGGCGCGGGGCGTGCACGGCTGGGCGGTACGTGCGTGGCTGGGGTGAACCTGCGGAAGACAACAGGGGCTGCGAGGTGGGCGCAAGGCCGATGTGCGTGGGGCGCGGGCGGATGTGGAAAATCAGCGGCGACGGTGGGAAGGCAAAGTGAAGTTGGTATAGTGCAGGTATGGTGCGGTAGATTGGGAGTCGCGCGGAATGCTCCTGGTCGATGGTCAGGTGTCGCGCGTATGGCTGCAGCTGACAGTGACTGGGTGGGTCGCGGGAATGGCTTGATGAGGGGTAATTGGGATGGGGTCGGGTTAATTAGACGGGTGAGTGTAACGGTAATTACATAAGATTAGGGCACTGTCTACGTAGACACTGTCTACGCGGTAGACGTCTACCCGGTAGACAGGGATGTCCCAGTCGGAAGATGCAGATGGTGTACAGTATGATACCTCCGTTGCTCGGTGCTATGGCCGCTTAAAGAAACGACTTTTAAATGCATCACCTTGAATTCGCAAGGTCAGGCAAGTTAGATTCCCCTCCCTGCTCTAATACCGCCACATACTTCGGTTAGGTTCACCCTATATTGTGAGTCCTCTCACTTCTCTACGATTCTACCCCCACAAACCCTGACCTTTCTCTAAATGTGCACCACTGCACGTGCCCTGTGCAGCATTCGACAATAAAAGACACGCCTTCGAATACTATCCCTAGCCTATCTCCTACACGCTCCAATTCTGGTATCAAAATGCTTCCCCCCATCAACCCACGACCTGTACACGCGTACAGTCCAGCCCACAGCGACTTGCATGTTCCAGTATGCAGTATTTGCTCCCCGTTCCTTTTTGTATGCATTTGCACAAACACGGTGTGCGGGCAGAGTGTGTGAAACACCCCCGTCCTACTTTGGCACCCTCGGTTCCTTACAAAGCCTGCGCTTCGGGTCCGGATTAGCCGCGAGCTCGAACCTTCTCATAACGAGCGCCTCGTAGAGCACCTGCTCATACACCATCCTATCCCTTGGGACGTTCCCCACCGACTTTTTCTCTGACACATTCTCCTGTGCCAAAAACGGCATTAGGCGCTTGTGCAAGTCCGTGACGGCCTCCCCGTACAAGTCTATAATCTCATCGAACCGTGTTACAATGTTCTGCACGCGCTTCTGAAACTCAGGGTCGTCCGTGCCCCCGCGGCATGTAGAGGATCCCAGATCATAGTAGCGTAACAAGGCGCAGTTGGGCATCTTCATCATAAAATCGTCGTACGTAGCATTATGCGAGATGCCGTAATCATTCCCCTTTTTCCAGCGATTATACTTGTACGCAGAGTTCCACCTCTCCGCGGGGTCGCGAATAGAGGTAACGGAGTAGAAGCCCATGCGTCTGAGACAGTGCGTGGTATCCACGCCCATGGCGATGTGGTCGATGAGGTGGATCTTCGGCTTGCGCTGCAGGCACAGCTCTGTGGCGTATTCCCCGCACGGCCACAGCGTGCATTTCAGGAAGGCCTCGTCGTGTCGCTGCAGCAGCGTCCCCAGCGCGACAGTGACCGCCGTGGACCCGGTCTTCATGGGCTTGTCGTACAGAAGCAAGGGCAGGCAGTCGGCGTCTCCCTCGCGCGCGCCCTCCGCGGCGTGAGCTCGGGCGTCGCGACGCGCGGCGGCGAATTCCGACGCCTGGGCAGCGGGGTCCGGCTGCGGCTTCGCCTCCCTCGCGGCGGCCGCGACGGCCGCGCCCGGCTCCGCGTGCACCAGCGGCAGGGCGGGCAGCGGGCGCTCGGTGAACGCGAGGTGGACGGCCAGCGCGAGCAGCAGCACGACGCCCATGAGGGTGCGCACGGGCGAGCGCGCCAGGCGCGGACGCGCCGCGCGCAGCTTGGAGGTGAGCAGCATCTTTCCGAGGGGCATCGCGCTGGGGGCAGGGGTTCCGGGATTCCCGCGGGCAGGCAGACGGGCGCGTAATACGGCGCGCTCCGCCGCTGTTGTACCGCAGGCGAGGCTGACGTGCGGGGAGGGCTGACACTCGGGGCTATTTCTGGCGCGCTTTGCGGCGGCTTGACGGTGGCATCGATCTTACGGTGGAGTATTGTCGCGGTACGTTGTGGCGGCAGACCAATCGGTTTGGGGGAAGTTGGCCCACCCATTAATATAGTTTGGCTGGGGCTGACAAACTGGATTGACAAATTGGATCTACTGGTCATCTACGAACAGGATGCCCTCGGCAAGCCTCGGGGCTCATACAGGTATCTGCATTCGGAGCGTGTCTGCACTCGTATCCAGGAGACAACGTAGCCTACGTGTCAGTGGCAGGGCATGTCATCTACGGACAGCCTGTGGTGTCACTGACAGGGCGTCGGGTGGCTGTACAGTACAACGTTTGGGGGTGTTGGTTGACCCGTTGTAAATCCAGTTTGGCGGGGGTGACAAATTGAATTGACAAATTGGATCTCCAGGTCATCTACGGACAGGCTGTCGTGTCATTGACAGGGCGACATTGACAGGGCGATGGCTAATGTCAGCCAACACCCCCAAACGTTTCACTGTTGACAGTGTTGACAGTGGAACGTTTGGGGGTGTTGGTCCGCCAGTTGTGAATCTACCCTTCGAAGGGTAGCTTGCCGCGAGCGGACAAATTGGATTGGCAAATGGGATCATCTACGAGAAATTGGATTAACATGTTGGATCTGCAGGTCATCTACGGACGGCAGGTCATCAATGGAAATGCGGGAATTCTCCGGAAATTATTTTTTGTGTCAAGAGTCATATTTTTCTTTTTTGTGCACAAAAAATGAGTTTTGCCACGGAAACTAATCCCCTGCTTGCGCACATATTGTGCGTCCCCCTACTGTACGCATGCTTTGTACTCACCGGACGCCGGCGATGACGCCGTCAGAGCTCTATAACTACAGTGTGTGCTGTGAGGCTCACACTATCATGATTGAGCTTAGCTCACAGTGTGAGCTAAGCTCAATCTTTTATTTAACCTAGAGCTAAGCTCAAGCTTTTATTTAACCTAGCATGGGGTCGCCCGTCCGAGCAAATGGCGCGTTGTGTGTGCACAACACGCCGTTTGTGTGTCACAAAATCCCGATTTGCTCTATAACACAATTTGCGATTTTAGAATTTCAGGAGTCGCCCACTGGCGAGGGGATGACACCTTGACAGGCACAAGGGAATGTCGCGGTGCTTACCGTTGCACGCCCTGTCCTGAAAGTGTACCGCAAAGCGGACCCATGGGACTACACGCGCTGTGCTGTACGCTACTCTCCCGCAAGAGGCGAGCGTCTCGCGCCTGAATGTACAACGGGTTCTCCCTGCTCAGAGAGGCCCCGTCTCATCCGGAGATGCCATGACATGTCATGAACGCACCTTTACAACCCCTCTAATCCTTCGGGATGCCATAACATCTCACGCGAGCTGCGAAAACCTCTAATCCCCTAAAACTCTAACCTAAACAAACATCGCGCGCATTCACGCCCACCCGGGGCACCGCAACCTGCGCCCCTCGTCCAGCAGTCTGCGCACCACCTGCACATCCGCGACGCTGGGGTCGGTCCCGATGTCCTCGCAGAGCCGCTTGTCACCGCCGCCCCTGCCGCGCTCCTTGAGCGCCTCGTACAGCTGCCTCTCCTCCATCGTCGCCTCCCTCTCCGCCGCGAGCGTCTCCTCGTCCAGCTCGCCCTCCATCCCGTCCCCGCTCTTCTTCGCCGACACGTTCTCCCTCCGTAGGTGCTTCCCGATCCTGCGCATCAGCTCCCCGCCCCCATCCCCCGCCGCGTCATACAGGTCGATCACCTCGTCGTACCGCCCCACAATTCCCCGCATCCTCTCCTCCGCCATCCCGTTGCACTCCGCCCCCTTCCCGTCGTAAAACCGGTGCAGGCTGCACCTGGGCAACTTTCCCAAGAACGTCCTATAGCTTTCCCGATAATCCACCCCGTAATGCTTCCCCTTCAACATCCGGTTGAACAGAAACATGCTTCTCCACCGCATCGCGGGCTCCCTCACGCTCGTCACCGCGTAAAACCCCTTGGCCTTGAGGCACTCCAACACCCGCGTCGCCTCGCCGCCGGCCCCGTCCCCCTCCACAAAGTGGCCCACCAGCCACCGCCGCCGCGTCGTCCCCTCGCACATCCCGCGCCCGTAGTCCAGGCACTCGCGCCGCCCGCACCGCCAGTCCCGCGCCGCCCGCTCGGCCAGGTACCGCCGCGCCGCGCACGAGATCGCCGTCGACCCCGTCTTGTACGGCTTGTCGTAGATCAAGTCCCGCGTGCACGCCGCCGCGCCGCCGCCCTGCGCGCCACCCCCGGTCCCCGGCCACACGTCGCCCTCCACCGCGCGCACCGCGCGCGCCCCCGGCGCCGCCACGTCCTGCGTGAAGCGCTCCACGCCGCGCCGTGACTCCATCTTGCGCCTCGGCCTCCGCGAGC